ACCGTCGCGGCCGAGTTCGCGTCCGCGGTCGCGCGCAACGCCGCGAGTTCTCCTCTCAGTTCCTCGCACGCGTCGCGATGCGCAGCGACCTTGGCCCGCAAGTCGTCTCTCTCCGCCATCGCCGCGTCCGCGTACAGCCGCGCGGATTGCTGCATCGCGTCGATGCGCGTCCGCAGCGCGTCGATCTCCTCCGCGGCGCTCGCCGCCGCCGCCGACGCGCTGCGGCATCAGGAGTTTTGCGATCAACTCAAAGCGCAGGTCGCGACGTTGAAAGCGGACGCGCGAGCCGCCGCCGAAGCCGCGAGCGCGGACAAGGACGCGCTCGTGGACCTTCGAGAGGAGTGCGCGATGCTTCGGTTCGCCGCGAGCGGCGGCGTGATCGAGACGATCGATTCCGTGCGAAAGCGTCTCGGCGCGGCCACCGCGGGGGAGACGACGACTTCCGCTTCCGCGACGACTTTCGAAACTTCCGAAGTCCGGGCGTTACGCGCGAGCGTCGCGAGCGCGGAGGCGGACGCGAACGCGGTCGAGACGAGCGCGCGCGCGGCGGCGGCGAGCGCCGCGGAGGAGATCGACGCGCTGCGGACGCGCATCGACGCGATGCAGCAATCCGCGCGGCTGTACGCGGACGCGGCGATGGCGGAGAGAGACGACTTGCGGGCCAAGGTCGCTGCGCATCGCGACGCGTGCGAGGAACTGAGAGGAGAACTCGCGGCGTTGCGCGCGACCGCGGACGCGAACTCGGCCGCGACGGCGTTAGAAACGGACGACGTGATTCATCAGTTACGCGAAGAGCTCGCGATGGTCTCCGCGCGGTTGGCGACGAACGAGCTGTTGCACGAACGCTTCAAGACGGACGCGCAGTCGCGACTCGCGACGGTCAAGTCTGAGGCGAGACGCGCCGCCGAGGCGGCGGCGGCGTCGAAACACGCCGAGACGACCGCGGAGTCGTGCGCGCGCGCGGCGCAGCGCGCGGCGGCGACGGCGGAGTACGAGATTCAAATCTTAAAGGACGAGAAGGACGCCGCGGACGCCGAGATCGCGCGATACGCGGAGACGTGCGCGTCGTTGCGCGCGCGGTTGGACGCGAAAAAAGTCAAGGGGAAAGTTGAGAAAGCCGCGGCGAAAACCGCGGAGGAGACGGCGTCGTTGAAACACGCGCTGAGCGAGGCCAAGGCGAGCGCCGCGGCCGCGGAGGCGGCCGCGCGGATCGCGCGCAGAGATGCGCGCGCGTCGACGGAGGCGCGCGACGACGCGGAGCGGCGCGCGGAGGACGCGGAGACGTCGAGGGCGGACGCGGCTGACGCGGCGAATCGCGCGACGGAGCGGCTGCACGCGGCGGAGCTCGCGCGCGACGACGCCGAGAACGCGCTCGAGGCGAGCGAAGCGCAGCGCGAGGAGCTCCGGCGCAAGCTGGACGCGAAGACCGCCGCGCTCGCGGACGTGTACGCGCTGCGGGACCGCCTCGCGGCGGCGGAGCAGGCGGTCGTCGCGAAGACCAAGTCGGCGAACGCGCGCGGCCGCGCCGCCAACGCCAATAATAAACGCGCGAGGAAAAACGACGGCGACGCCGCGTCCGGCGCCGGCGCCGACGCCGGCGCCGCGCCCGAGGAGCTGCTCGCGATGGTCCACGCCGCGGAGGCGAGGGCCGCGGCCGCGGATGACGCGGTCGCGGACGCGGAGCGGTCGCATCTCGCGGCGCTCGCGAGGCTGGAGACCGCCGGCGCGGAAGCCGCGGCGGCGGCGACGGCGGCGGAGGAGAGACTCCTCGCGCGCGTCGCCGCGTCCGAGTCGCTCGCCGCGACCGCGGAGGAGCGGCGCGAGCGCGAGACGCGGAGGCTGCGACGCGCGCTCGCGGAGGCGCAAGCCGCGCGGTGGGCCGCGGAGAAGGACGCGAGCGGCGCCGTCGCCGCCGCCGCCGTGGTGGACGCCGCGGCGAAAATGTCGGACGCGAAAATGTCAGACGGCGGCGAGACGCTCGCGGCGCTGCCGGAATGCGAAGAAGAAGAAGAGGAAGAAGAGGAGACGGAGGCGGAGACGATCGGCGACGAGGCGCTGTCGCCGACGCCGACGCCGATGAAGACGGCGTCGAAGGACGACGATCCGCCGTCGCCGCCGCTCTCCGGCGGAGGAAAGCTGACGACGCTTCCCGGGGGAAAAAACAAAAACAAAAACAAAAACACAAACGCAAACGCAAACAAAAACGACGCGGTGAGACGAGCCGCGCGCGCGGCATCCGCGGCGATCGAAACCGACGCCGCGAACGCGCGGAAGGAGCTGATGAGCTTGCGCGCCGCCGCGGCCGAGCGCGAACGCGCGATTCGCGACTTGGACGAAGAGAAAGCCGCCGCGGAGGCGAAGGCTTTCGAGTGGCGGCGGGCGGCGAAGAAGGCGGAGCGCGACTTGAAGGAGAGAGACGTCGCGTTGACGAGGGCGGCGAGAGAGCTCGAGCTGACGAAGACGAGCTTAGCCGCGGCGGTGAAGGCTGCCGCGGACGCGGGCGCGGAGGCGGGGCGATCCGCGGGCGTCGAGGCGTCGAGGAGGAAGCTGAAGCGGCGCGACGATTGGGATTCCAGCGTCGTCGTGACGCCGCCGAGGGACGTCCGGGCCAAGTCGCCGGCGCGGACCAAGTCGCCGGCGCGCGTCGCGGCGGCGACGCCCGCCGCCGCCCCGACGCCGCGGACGCGCTCTCCGCACCGCGGTGCGGTCGTCGCGAAAACGCCTCAAAACGGGGCGTTATTAGGGATATCCTCCACGACGACGACGCTGACGACGCCGTCGTCCGACGTGGGGCCCGGCGCCCCCGTGCCGCTCTCCGCGCGGTCGCCGTTTAAGACGCCGACGCGAAGAGGCGACGGCGTCCGCGGCTTCGACGCGCCGTTCGCGAAAGCCTCCCCCGCCGCCGTCGCCGCCGCGGCGATCGACTCCAAAGCGGAAGCCACTTTCGCGAAAGCGGAAGCGAAGCGTCTGCGCGCGGAGAAGGAAGAGGCTGAGCGCGACGCGCGCAGAGCGCGCGCGGAGGTGGCCGCCGCCGCCGCCGCCGCGGACGCGGAGGCGACGGAACGCGCGGCGAGGGAACGCGAGCGACTCAAGGACGCGCTCGCGCGCGCCGACGAGGAGACGCGCGTCGCGCTCGCGGACTTGAAGAAGACGCAGAGCGACGCGGAGCGTCAGGTGACCGCCGCACTCGATCGCGCGGACGAGCGAGAGAAAGCGCTGCGCGCGGACATCGCGCGCTGCGCTCGAGAGCGCGACGACGCGCGACGCCGCGTCGACGCCGCGACGACGGAGCTCGCGGATGTGAAAAAGTCGCGCGCGACGCTCGGAGGGATGACGAGCGCGGAGGCGTCCGCCGCCGTCGCCGTCGCGCGCTACCGCGCGGAGGCGGACCGCGCGAAGAGTCGGCTCGAGGAGCTGGAGGACGAGCGGTTCGAGCTCCGGCGCGCGCTGGAGGCGCACGTCGGCGCGCTCGTGGAGGCGAAGGTGGACGGCGCGGAACACCAAGGGACGATTCTCGAGTTGAGGAAAGAGCTGTCGCGAGCGAAGACGAAGTATCAACGCGCCGCGGCGAGAAGCACGAAGCTCGAGGCGATGTATTACACCCTGAAGGACGCGTCGGACGCCAAGGCGATGGCGGAGAGCGCGACGTGGGGTGGTAGCGCGAGCGGTCACGGGGGCGGGGGTGGGCGGGGGCACGGAGGGAACGGGAGCCCGGATGAGAACGACGAGAAGAGAAGAACGCCCGTCGTCCTCTCGACGCGGCCGCGGCTGTTTTCGCCCTGACGGGACACTATCTAAAGGATATAGCATTGAAAAACGCATCACTATGACGCGTTACAGATATATGAATGACTAATAAGACCTTCTTTATCACGTCGTCAAAAGAACTACAGTACAGTAGCCCTACTGTGCGTGTACCCTACCTAATACGGCTGGAGGCTCAAGAGCTCGACGTCGACGAGCACGCCGTCGTCCGCTCGCGGGAGGTACTGCCCGAAACACTTCCGCTTGTAGCACAACTCCGGAGGAACGATGAACCTTCGCCTCTCGCCGACTTTCATCCCCATGACGCCCCCGATCGCTTCGTCCTGCACCTCGTCCTTGACCCCGGCCTGGTAGTTGTACGGCCGTCGCGCCGCGGCGGAGGACGCGAACGCGTGCCCGTCGCTCAGGAAGTATGCGGTGTACGAGACTTCGGGTCGTTCCACACAAAACATTGTCGGGGTGGAGTTGAAAGGCGTCAGTTGGAGTTGAAAGGCGTCGAGGACGGGGATTGAAACCGAGGGGTGGACGGAGAGATGCGCCGGCAAAAGTCCTTAAGGATCGGCGTTCACCACGCGAACGGGGTCGTATGGGGACCAGTGTATAGAACGCGCCTTCAACGAACGGATTGGGAATGTAGTGGTCCACCGTGTCGAGTATGCCGCGCTCTGCGTTGCCTTCGCTGGCTTTGTCCACGATGAACGCGACGCCGCTCTCGAGCGTCTCCCACCCCGCGGGAAGGTCGTCGAGACGCATCGCGTCGACGAGATCCACGGAGCGATCGGATTTGTCGAGGAGGTACGACGCGAGATCCGCCGCGCGCGCGTCCGCCGCCCCCAGCAGCGCCCCCAACAACGCGACGCGCAAGGCGTCTCTTCTGCGAACGTTCGCCGGCGCGGACGTCGCGGCGGGGACGGAGGAGGACGGACGCGCGCGCGCGGACGCCGGGGCGGACGGGGTCGCCGCGCGAGCGCGGCAGGCGACGACGCGCGCCGCCATCGTCGCGCGAGTCGTTGTGATGATATCAGATCGGGCGTTCGCATCATCACGACCGAATAAACTATTTCTAACATACTGTACCGCTCGCTCCTCCGTCGTCGGTCACGCCATCAGACACCCTAATATGTTCGAGAACACCCCGGGACACGTGCACACGGAGTAATACGTCGGATCCACGCCGTCTATCGCCAAGATATCCTCCCTGAGCGCGAGTGCGCACACGTAGTTTTGCCCGATGCGGCACGCGTTGTCGCACCCGTCGTCGGGGTTCCCGTTGCCGTCGTCGCACTCTTCGCCGTCGTTGAGGACGCCGTCGCCGCACACGCCGATGAGCGTCTGACGAGGGCGACGCCACAGGAGGCAGGCACGAGAAAAGGTAAGTACAGTACGCGTCGGTCAGTCGTGAGGGGGAGGGATCGACGCGATCGTCAAACGTACCGTCGAAACCGAGGGGCGGGCGGGTGAAAAACAAACGTGAAAAACAAAACGCGCGCGGGCGGATAGACTGGGGGACCCCCTCTCGCTCGCGCACCTGACACCTGTCTCCCATGTACCCGCTCACGCACTGGCACCGCGCCCCCACCGCGCCCTGCGAGCACGTCCCTCTCCCGAGGCACGCGTACGGCCCCGGCGACACCGGGTGGTCCGCGGTCCCGGGGCACGGAAGCTCGCACACCGCGCCGACCCACCCGACGTCGCACGCGCAAAACGGAAAATCGTTGGACCGTTCCAACGCCGTCGTGTCGTCGAATCGCCGCCCGTCCAGAACGTGCGAGCACCGCCCCGCGCCGCAGTAGTTTGGCGCGGGCGGGCACGGGAGCTCGCACAGGACGCCGGCGCGGACGCGCGCGTCGTCGCACGCGCACTTCGCGGCGTCGCCGGGGAAGTCGCCAAAGTACGTCGTCGAGTCGCACGTCGAAAAGTCTGAGGGTCGAGGGTCCATACGAAGCGATGTCGGGGTGGAGTTCATAGGCGTCAGAAGCGGAGTTTAAAGGCGTCGAGGTGTGTCGGGATTGAAAGCAGCGAGGGACCCTGTGCGGAGAGAAACGAACGCCGGGAGAGAAAGCCCTTAAGGAACGGCGTGCACCACGCGAACGGGGTCGTACGGGGTCCAGTGTGAAATAGAACGTTCCGTAATCGCACGGCGGACACTCGTGCTGACAGTACGCGCCGCCGCGGCCCGCGTCACACGCGCACGCGGGGTTCCCCGCCGCGTCCGTGACGCACGCGGAGTGTTCGTACTCGCACGGCGGGCACTGGACGTCGCACAGCGTGCCGGCCCAGCCGAGCTCGCAGTCGCACGTCGTCGCGAGGGTAGTCGTCTCGATCGCCGTAGATCCCGCGGCGTCATCCGTCGTCGTCGTCGTGACGTTGACGACGACGCACGCGCCGTTCGCGCACGCGGGACACAGAAGCTCGCAGTCGTCGCCGCGCCACCCGTCGTCGCAGTCGCACCCTAGCGATGGATCCTCCTGGCTCCCGGACGCGTACACGCCGTTGCCGCTGCATATGGACAGTCTGACCTCTTCCGCGTACGCGGCGTAGTAATCCGCGAGAAATTTCACGTAATACGTCGTCGCGTACTGATCCACGTACTTCATGAACGCCTTGAACTCCTCGTTGTTCCATCGGTCCGCGGTCATCTCCGGGTCCCTCTTCGAGATCATGACGTGGTCTAAGCGCACGGTCTCGCCCGGGCCCATCGGGTCGCCGATCCACGGGTCGAGCTCGCCGTCCGTATACCGCGCGGGGTCCGCGGCGCCGTAGTAATCCGCCTTGATGAGAATCTCCGGGTCGAGGGTCCATACGAAGCGAAGATATCGGGGTGGAGTTCAAAGGCGTCAGAAGCGGAGTTGAAAGGCGTCGAGGCGCGTTGGGATTGAAAGCAGCGAGGGGTAGTGGGCGGAGAGATGCGCCGCCGGGAAGAAAAGTCCTTAAGGATCGGCGTTCACCGCGCCGACGCGGTCGTACGGGGACCAGTGCGACGTAGAACGCACCTCCGTGAGCGACGCCAAAACCCACGCGATTTCCGTGAACGTCGCGCTCGTCCCGACCCTGTCCGCGCGGTTCGCGTTGATCGCCGCGTACACCTCCGGAAGGACGTCCCAACGCCGCCGCAGCGCGTCCACGCTTCGCGCGTACCCGTCGTTGGCGTTCGGGCGCGTCGACCCCGCCGTCGACGCCCCGCGA